TATATATATATATATATATATATATATATATATATATATATATATATATATTCATGACGCATTCCAAGACAAATCTGAGGAATAGGGTAGAAAATCGGTGCTGAAGGTGGTAATCTAGAGGAATGCGATGAAGTGAATTCCATACCATTGAAAAGTCGTTTCGAAGTGGAGTTAGCAATAAAACTGATCGAGAATGTTTAGTTCCCAGCAAAAAATGAGATCGAGAGGCCAGCGCTCCTTCCAAGTATCAGATGGCGGTTTAAAATCAATCACAAGCCGGGGACTATTTTCCTATACAAATCTTGAATGTATACGAAGAGTTTTGTATGCATTGTTGTGATCGAGCATAACTTTTTGCTGCACATCGTAAACATTGTTTGAGAAAGCAAAGATTCATGTGCTTTTCAAAAAAACATCGCGAATCGCGTAAACGTGGTAGTAATGAATTAACGATAAATCAGCGCTCCCCTCACTTCCGTATATCATTCACTTCGACAACAAAATTTGTTACCGGAATGATCACCATTAACATGAGGAACGTAGCGGTCTAATTTTCGATCCAAGTTTAGTGTAGGAATTTTGCACTCCCTTTAATGCTTTTGTAATACCGCTTGCCTTCTCGTTATAGGTATAGCTCTCGTTCACAGGGATTTCCTTAGAATGAAGACTTCAAAACCTGGCCTCACAGATTTGTAACGCATCAATTTAGTTGAACCGTATGACATAGTTTACAAAAATTAAAACCTGACTGACTGAACTGACTGACCTAAAAAGAAAAAGAAACAGGAAATTGAATAGGATCCGCATTTCAGGGGCAAATAAGGTTGGTGTCGTCTTGTAAAACATTTTACAATCTTTCTAGCTCTTTTCAGGATTCTCTTATGATACTTCACAATGTGCTCGTTGACAGATCAATTGCAAACTCAAAACCGTACGACCGCTTCCAGTTTGAACGGGTTGGATATTTCTGTGTCGATCCGGACAGCACGCCCGGAAAGGTTAGAAATTCTTGAAGTGAAGCAATTCTTTTTGCAGCTTGCAATCTCCATTCCAACCACTTTCACAAAGCGCTTTCCCTACTTTTGTAGTTCTTATCACGAATAATTACCCCGTAGACGTCAATTGTTCGTGTAATATCGCATGTCATGAGACAAGGGTTATCAGTATCCGCAATTACCTTCACCACGTGGTCGTTTGGTCGAATCGGAACCAGTGATAGTGCGTACTATTGTTCTCACTATCAAGCAGTATTTATTACACATAAGTTGGATTGAGAAAGACCAACTCATCTTGAAATATACGGTTGCTATCCGGGCAAAGGGAAGCCAACAGATTATAGCCAACAGTATGCGGCCCGAACTTAGAAACCATTACCTAGCTTTTTCGCCGCACGTTTTGTCTGCTTTCCTTTTCAAACGCTGTACGCTGCAGTCTGACAGATCAGGATGTTTTACTTACGCTGCCATGGAAGTGTACATTGGCTGAGACCCAATCTGACCGAGAGATTACCTGTAGGAGTTGATGATGGCAAGATCTTATCTGACGATATTCTTGCGCGAGCCGCCCTCGAAGATTCATGGAAGACTTGACCTTGTTCTGATCATGTGCCTTTAAACAAAGCAGGTGTGCAACCACATCGCATCTCATTGGAAAAGAGTCTTCTACCCATAAATTATTGGCATTCTTGCTTTTTGTGCATTCCATTCAATTATTGCTGCGATTCCTATCTGCTTTCCCTAAATCGCTGGAACGCCTCCTTTGCGAAGGCATCTCCCAATTTAAAACACTCGAGTAATTTTGCCGCAGAACTTTCGAGAGTGCAAAAACAAATATATTATACCTTGATTACTGGAAGTTTTTCTTACAGGCTATTAAATTGCGATAGAAGGGTAAAAGTTTTAGGGCGTTAATCAACTCCTGAGGGAGCGCCCCCACTTTCGACGATCATTCACAATCGTGGTAAATATACGTATAGCCTACATAATGACTTGAGGTGGCGACCGATGTACAAGGCAGTTCCTTTATCCTCCCAGACGAGTCTGGTACCAATTAGTCGACTCCGAAGGAATGGAAGATCCGGTTGGCCTAGAATATCCATCCAAGATTCAAGCCCGTGACCATGTCGTGTGATAGTGCGCCTCTTGCCATTACACCACCTCCGCCCTATAATCAAAAAATTAACTAGATTGCGATATGTTCACTAGTTTTGTTAGCCCCTATGAAGATAGCTGAAGACAGT